GATGCGCCGCGTACCTGACCGCAAACGGCCACAGAAAATGGGGGGCAGCCGCATGCATCATAGACGTACGAGCGACGTCCATGACCATGCCAATGCGGCGCTCTGCAATCCCATTTTGCTGCGGTGAGTCCGGAAGCGTGAAGGTCTCGCGGATGCCTCGCGCACGACAGAAGGCACGCAGAAGGCCAGAGGAGAACTCTCCGCCTCTGTCCGAGTGCAGACGCAACACAGGAAAGTCCGAGCCAAAGCTCCTCCTGAGCTGGAGACGAGCTGCGCGGATCCAGTCGATCAGCACCTCAGTGACATCACCCTTGCTGCGCAAGGGGAAGACTGTGGTGTAACGCGAGTAGTCGTCAACCACCAACAGGAAGTAGCGCTCGTGACCGAGTCCACGGACGCGGGCAGGGCCCCACACGTCCATGTGAAGCGTCTGCAACGGAGCCTCTGTCGGAGGAAACTGGGAGGAGTGAGGGGCAGCACGCTGGCGCCCCTCCACACAGGGGACACAGGCAGTGCCAGGGCCCTAAGGAAGGGGAGGGAGGGACCGGGGGAGACCAGAAACAAGAAGACGGGAGGCCATGCCTCTGAGCCGATGCAGAGAGGGGTGGCCAAGGCGGTGGTGCCAGAGGAGAGTCTCGTGAGACAGACGGCGACACGAACAGGGGGCAGACTCAGGACCAGACCTGGACGCTGCAGCAAACACCTGACCAGACGAAGGGACTCTACCAGACTCAGCACCGGGAGGAGAAGCAGTGGTCAGTGTGTACAGGCTCGACCCTGGCTGACGTGTAAACGTAGCCAGGTGGCGACCTGTGCTAGCCTCTGTGCAGTGTGTCACCCGGTGACGAGCAGGAGTGAACTGGTGGACACCCACATCCTGTAGGTCAGCACCACTCACCAGGTTCGTAGAGAACGAGGGGAGGTAAAGACCAGTCAGGGTGCCAGAGGGAGCCGCCGGACACGGGAGGACTGTGGAGAAACGAGACAGGACAGGACCCCCAGAGGGGTCAGCCAGGGAAACCGCAACAGGCCGACTAAGCGGCGTGAGAGTGGTGCGGTCCCGAAAGAAGGAGCGAGACGCCCCAGAGTCAAGGGTGAAGGTGTGAGAGGCAGAAGCCGACACAGTACCTGAGAGGGCAGACTCACTAGCACCTGAGAGCACAGACGCACTGGCACCTAGAGCAGCAGCCTCACTGGCACCTGACACTGCAGTACCAATGCCCGGGTCAGGCGGGAAACACCGGTAACAGTCACCATCATCACTAACAGTCACAGCATACATGGCAGCAAGGATAGCATCAAAGTCAAGATCAAACACAGCTACACCAGCCCTAGACAGCTCTCCCCAGCGGGGGATCTCAGAGGCCTCCGGAAACTGCTGGCGCCAAGCGTCGGTCAAGCGGGCAAAGCAGCGGCGAGCGGTGTGGGTGCCCCCACACTGCTCACCCGCGCGGTCGCCGGTGCGAAGGACGTAGGCGCAGGGACCGAACGCCCCACCACGCTGACGCTGCGAGTACCACTCACGGAGCTGCTGAGGGGCGGGGACGTCGCGAGAGCGCTGCTGCTGCTGCTGCTGCTGCTGCTGCTGCTGCTGCTGCTGCTGCTGCTGCTGATGCTGCTGCTGCTGTTGGCGCTGACCACCCCCAGTGCTGCTCCTCTGGGACGAGCCACTCCGACCACCTCCACCACCGCCACCCCCGCCTCCGCCGCCACCGCCGCCACCGCCACCCTCGCCCCCGCCGCTCCCACTGCCTCCTCCGCCACCACCTCCGCCGCCACCTCCGCCTCCACCGCCGCCACCAGTACCTCCACTCCCACCTCCACCCCCACTGCCACCCCCACTCCCCCCGCCGCCCCCACCTCCTCCGCCACCGCCCCCGCTAACTCCACCCACTCCCTTGCCCCCCTTGCTCCTGCCAGAGCGGCGCCTACCGCTGGGGGCAGACGCCGCACCGACCGACTCTAAACCAACGAGGTCGGCCGCAGCAGCAGAGGCGACAGAGGGGAGCAGGGGGGAAGGAGAACACCCCTCAAAGATGGGGGTGCGCGGGTCACCACGAGAGGCCCCTACAGCGACTATGCTCTTCTCGGCCGCTAGCAGGGACTTCTCGAGGAGGTCGACAGTGAGGGTGGTGGGACAGACAGAGAGAAACTGGTCCCTAACAGCACGAAGGGACTCAGGGAGACGGGTGACTAGAAAGTAGAGGGTGATGTACATGGGAGGGGGGTTTTCGGCGAGGAAGGCAGCAGGAAGCGCAGCTCGGTAGCGAGTGTCGCTAGCGCGAAGGTGGGTAAAGAGGTCAGTGACTGTGGGAAAGGCAGCAAGGTCAGGGAAGAGGTACGGTAGCATGAGGCGGCTCAGTGTAGCAGTGGAAGGGGAGGAGTAGCGTGCAACTACAGCGTCGTACAAGGCCTGAGCGGTCTTGCACTGACTAAAGTGTGCACGCTCGGAGGAAGGGAGGTGGCGACGCACAGCAAGACGTGCAGCAGCATCGCGTGTGGCCCACTTGGAGCGAACAGTGGGGTCAGCATCAGCAGGAGGGGCAGGGACAGCGCCAGAGACAAAGTCAAAGAGAGAAACCTCATCGATCGCATCGCACAGTAAGTACAGCTGCAGGTCCTCAATCCAGACTGCAAAGTCAATGGCGCGACCCTCAGCGTCAAAAGCCAGGACACTCGGGGTGACCACTGTAGCAGCTGACAATCTCACCGGGCAGGAAGAGTCGGGAAGCACAGCGGCACAGCAACACGGCAGCACAGCAGCTGCGCCGGCCCAGGAGCAGCAGCAGCCCCACAGGAGCAGGAGCTCGGCACCTCAGGTTGCTCGGGCGGCTCGGGCGGCTCGAGCGGCTCGAGCGGCTGGGGCGGCGCGGGCGGCTCGGGCGGCTCGGGCGGCTCGGGCGGCTCGGGCGGCTCGGGCGGCTCGGGCGGCTCGGGCGGCTCGGGCGGCTCGGGCGGCACAGGCGGCTCGGGCGGGTCTGCTGCACGGGCGGCTCGGACGGCTCTGCTGCACGGGCGGCCCGTTCGGCTCAAGTGACGCGGGTGGCACGGGTGGCGCGGGCGTCGCGACGGGCGGCTCGCTGGCGGCTCGCGGGCGGCTGCACGGGCGGCTCACGGGCGCCCGCGGGCGGCTGCACGGGCGGCTCACGGGCGGCTGCGGGCGGCTGCACGGGCGGTTCACGGGCGGCTGCACGGGCGGTTACGGACGGCGGCCTGGGCGGTCGCGGGCGGCTCACGCTGGGCGACTGCACGGGCGGCTGCACGGGCGGCTGCACGGGCGGTTCGTCGGGCGGCGCACAGGCAGCTCACAGGCAGCTTCACGGGCGGCGCGTCGAGCTGCTGAGGGCGACGCACGGGCGGCGCACGGGCGGTGCGAGGGGCGGCTCGCGGGCGTCGGGCGCTAGGGCGCTAGGGCGACGACGGGCGGCGCTCAGGCCTTAGGGCGGGCGGCCGTCAGGTTCTAGGGCGGGCCGCGCTCGAGCTCTAGGGCGGGCAGCGCGCGGGCGCTAGGGCGGGCGGCGCTCAGGCTTTAGGGCGGGCGGCCGTCAGGCTCTAGGGTGGGCCGCGCTCAGGCTCTAGGGCGGGCAGCGCGCGGGCGTTAGGGCGGGCGGCGCGCGGGCGTCTAGGGGCCGTTAGGGCAGATCGAAAAAAAAAGGAAGTAAGAGGGCCCGGAGCGCGCTCCGGGCAGAAAAAAAAGTTACGAGGTAGCGGAGGTGGGCCCTAAGAACAGTTCCCACAGGGGAACCTGCTCGATACCATGAGAAGAAGTGAATGAGAATGAAATGACTATGAACGAAGTGAGTACAAATAGGAAACCCTAATTGTGTTGTACCCCCTATGGGATACCCCACTATAGCCTACACAAATAAGCAAGCTATATGTTCTGACAAAGTTGACCTGACATACTGTCCAACGGGTGACATGGCAGCAGACTTCCTTACGAAGAAACTGCCGCGTCAGCAGTACCAGCACTGCTCCAAACTCAGCGGGGTAGTCAAGCGGGTCAATGCTCGCTACAGCCAGGAGTGAAGGGGGGTGTTACGAATAGTGGTTAATGAAAAACACTGTTACGCACTCCTTACCGTAGCAAAGCCGAAGCACGCACTATCAAGAGTGAAGACGAAAAGGCAGAAGAAAGGCGAAGGGACATACGGTTACGAGGAGCATCTGGACCGTCGGGCAGACATCATCAGGCAGCAACAGTGGCGAGGATTCTGCCCGAGCAGTTACGTAACCACTCGGAGTTGCACGGTTGGATTTCGCCGCAATAAGGGAATGTACCCCTTAGAGTACATGGCTAGTTAGGTCGTTTCGAATTCCCCTGTCCTCATATTTATATTCCTTGTAGTGCACGTTTTTATTATCTCAAGCATTTACATTCACTCTGCTATTGAGGTCAAGGGCCCACCACCACTAGACTAGAATTGTGCGAACCTTCCTGAGGTGATCATGGTTACGATCACTTTCTGATCCAACACAGGGCGGTTTTCCTTTCCCGCTCGAAAATTGCCCAGTTCGACTGTCCAGGTGCATGCAGTGTCGGGTGACATTTCGGGACGCGTGCGATTTCCGCAAGGTGACGGGGCCTCGTGTAACTCGTCCGCGACACCCCCGCAATTCCCGCCAACCAATGTAAAATACTGTGTGGATCGAAGTAATGCGGTCCGAGTTTGTGACACACTACGTTATATGCTGTTTTTCGGTGTCACAAAGGGTTTGAGACACAAGTTTCTCCACAGGAACGCACCCTAAGAATCTAGGCAGCAAGCAGCAATCCAACTACATCTGCAGGACTGATATTGAACTGAACTACACCGCATCACCCCCACACCTCCCACTTTCCCCTGCCCTCGGTTCAACCAGCCACTCACCACCATGCATGCATCACCCTCACCCACCAGAAATGCGCAATCAAAGCTAGAATTTGTACTGTACTGTCACCCATCCACACACAGATCTCCGTGAATCACAACCGTCGTATGCGGCGCCTATTGCGGCAAATGCGATTAGGTCAATTACCGGCTTTCGTAAATCCCCTCGCCTTGTTGCGCCTGGATATAACGCGTATCTTCTCCGCTTGCGCGAGTCCTGGTTCCGTCCACCCGCACCACGCATTCGTGCTTCCGCCAGCTGCCCGTTGCCCCTCTTCGCTTCCCCAGATGCTTCCGCAAGGGCATCCGCCCCGCGCCCTTGCGCAGGGCTCCGCGCACCTATCCGCACTGCACGTCCCTCCACGTGTTCGTACGCATGTCCCGCCAACATCCGTCATATTCACCAACCCCGCGATTCCGTTAGTAGCTCTCCCGTTAACGGTATCGCTTAAGTCACCCCAACTCTCTTGTCATAACCGCAGCGACCTAGGGGTAACCAGATTTAGAACGAATAGGTTAGACCTAAGATTCAGCAGCATTTTCGGGTCAGATAGTCTTAGGCAAAATGGTTTTAGCCAAACCAGTTGCAGACAGGGCGGTTCAGGGTTTCGGGTTTTATGTGCCAGCCGGCAGGATGGCCCGTTACAGAGAGGCAGATCTTATGGGCGACAGCGTTTGTCGGATGCGGCTGCTGACGTGGACGCGTCGGAAAGCGTTGACGTGGATCCTTTTTTTGCAAAGCGACAGGAGGTTTGGAAACGGTGGGTGGGGAAGAGCAGTCCGGCCGGCAAGAGGGAAACCGCAGGATCGGACGATACCGAAGCTCCTCGTCAGGGTCGTACGAACGCCGAACCTCGGAAGCAGGCTCGGGACAGGCCGGGTAGCCAGGTCGTTCGGAATGGCAGATCAAACCAATGGGAGCAAGGAGGCGGTGACGAACAAGCGGCACGTGGCGTATCCTCGAGAGACTCGAGATCCTCGCGGCGAGACCCGTCCTCGTTAACTGGTGCTTCGTTACAAGCTCCGTGGGAGTCTGCAGCGCCAGGAAGGGGATCAAGAGGTCCGGCGGAGGAGGGCAGCAGGGGGAGTTACCGGGGGGGCGGGAGGGACGGAGGGGAGAGACGTGGACGTGGGGACGACAGAGGGGCGGAGCGAGACGGATACGCGGCTTATGGGGATGTGGTGCAGCGAGGTAGTTACGCGGGGGGGAGAGAGGGCGGTTATGGCGACGATCGGGGGCCGGAGCGAGGCGCATATGAGGCGTATGGGAATGTGATGGGGCGAGGTAGGTACGGGGAAGGAAGAGAGCGTGGATACAGTGGCGAGAGTGGGCGTAGAGGGACGGCTTTTGAGTCGACTCGTAGGTCATATGGGGATGTGAGGGGGCGAGGTAGCCCTGGGGAGGCGAGAGAGCGCAGTTACATTGGTAAGGATGGTCGTAGAGTGGAGGGGGAGAGGGAGCGGCGGAGGGGAGAATGGGAGGGGAGGGAGGGGAGGGAGGGAGAGAGTTGGAGGGGAGAAATGGAGGAGCTTGAGGGGGAGAGATGGAGGGGAGGAAGGGAGGGGGGTGCGGGGGAGAGGAGGCGGACAACTAGAGAAGGGAGCAGGTGGCAAGGGGCGCATGGGGGTGGAGGGTTCAACAAGGGTTCAGGCGAGGTTGAAGGTTTAGGGAGAAACCAGGGAAGGGTTTTAAGTTCCCAATCTAACAGGGAAATTGCAGGGTCGGACGGGGACGGATATGAGGACGAGCTGTTTGGGTGGTCGTCCGCTGCTGATGACTTGGAGGCACAGCTGCAGAGGGAGGAGCGGCGATCCGTGTATGTCCCGAGGGGGCCCAGAGGCGTGCAGCAGCAGCAGAGACAGAGGAGTGGGGAGGGGGACAGGTATGAGGACGAGCTGTTTGGGTGGTCGTCCATTGCTGATGACTTGGAGGCACAGCTGCAGAGGGAGGAGCGCCGGTCCGTGTATGTCCCGAGGGCCCCAAAAGGCCCGCAGCAGCAGCAGAGGCGAGCACAGCGGGAGCAGCAGCAACACCAGCAGCAACAGGAACCGCAGCAGCAACACCAGCAGCAACAGGAACCGCAGCAGCAGCAGGAGGAGAAGGAGGAGGGGGAGGGGGAGGTGGAGGGGCAGGAAGGACAGTATGTGGATGCGCTATCCAGACAGCAGCGGCAGCAATGGCAGCAGCAGCAGCAGTGGCGACAGGAGCAAGAGCAGCGGCAGCGACAGCAGGCAGAAGTATCAACATCACTCTCCTCCTCTCTCTCCTCCTCTCTCTCCTCCTCTCTCTCCTCCTCTCCTCCCCCCTCTCCCTCCTCTCCTTCTTCCACTGCTTCTGAAAGACAAAACTGGCTGGGCCTATCCGGACGGAAAAAGCCGCTCTCCGCCGCCCAGAAGGACCAGTTCTTCAACGTCGCGCCGCCCGAAGGCGATCCCGAAATCGCCCCTTTAGATCCGCACTTCCCCTTCCAATACAGCTACTCCGAGACCCCCTCCACCCCCCCCATCGGTTACCGCGAGCCCCCCTTCTCCCCCTTCGGCCCCGCTACCATGTCCCGCCCCTGGACCGGGCGCGCCCCCCTCAAAAAGGCGAAAAAAGGTGGCGGGGCGGGGAATTTACCCCGGGTGATTCCGGAGTTTGACTCGTTTGTGGCGCCGAGGCGGAAGAGGGGGATGAAGGGCGTGCAGCCCCCGGGGCCGTTTGGGGAGGGGGAGGGGCCGCGGTATGTGCGGACACGAGAGGAGGTGCTGGGGGCGCCGCTGACGAGGGAGGAGGTGGAGGAGATGGTTGCAGACTGCAATAAGGGGCGAAGACAGGTGAACCTAGGTGAGCCTGAGTGTGGGTGGGTGTGGTGGGGTATGGTTGAATCGTGGCGCTTGGGAAGTGCAGAGGCAGATTCACAACATGCTAGAGCTCATTCACATGCACTGGAAGCGGCGGCGGTGCGTTCTTTTCCCTCTCTCATAGCTCTTCCGCCCCTCCCATCACCTTCCCATACTCCATAACAGGTCGAGACGGGCTGATCCACAACCATTCACACGCACTGGAAGCGGCGGCAATGTGTTCTGCTCCCCCTGTCATAGCTCTTTCGCCCCTCCCATACCCCTTCACCCCCATCACAGGTCGAGATGGGCTGATCCACAACATGCTGGAGCTGATTCACACGCACTGGAAGCGGCGGCGGTGCGTGAAGGTCAAGTGCAAGGGCGTGCCCACCGTTGACATGGACAACGTGTGTCACGTGGTGGAGGTGCGTGGGGTGTGGAGGGATGGAATGCGGTTTCATGGGTGTGTGAAGGTGCATTGGTGCAAGGGCGTGTTGACCGTTGACATCCACACCCCATGGACAACGTGTGCTGACCGTTGACATCCACACCCCATGGACAACGTGTGCTGACCGTCGACATCCACACCCCATGGACAACGTGTGCTGACCGTTGACATCCACACCCCATGGACAACGTGTGCTGACCGTCGACATCCACACCCCATGGACAACGTGTGTTGACCGTTGACATCCACACCCCATGGACAACGTGTGTTGACCGTTGACATCCACACCCCATGGACAACGTGTGCTGACCGTTGACATCCACACCCCATGGACAACGTGTGTTGACCGTTGACATCCACACCCCATGGACAATGTGTGTTGACGCGGGGCAAGGGCGTTCAAGGGCGTGCTGACCGTCGTTGAGGTGCGTGGGGTGTGTTGACACACCGGCGGGATGTGGTAGGCAGGGCAGCACGCTCTACGTGTTCCGCATGCGCAACTACATGCCTACGCCCGCCTGCGCCCGCGCCTGCCTCTCATGCTCCCGCTCACGGCGACTTGTTCCCACAGCGGCTCCTTCCCTCCCTGCTGTGCTGCTGTTTTTAGGAGAGTCTTACATTGCTACTATGCTCTTCTGTTGCCATTCCCTGCGAATCCACCAGGACAAGCCAGGTGGAAGGATCATCAAACGACAGGGCGGCACCCTCTACGTGTTCCGATGGCACAACTACAACTACCGCCTGCGCCCTCCCCTGCTCTCTCTTCTCTTCTCCCTGTTCTTCCGCACCCAAGCAGGACAAGACGGGAGGCAGGATCATCAAACGACAGGGCGGCACCCTCTACGTGTTCCGCGGGCGCAACTACAACTACCGCCTGCGCCCGCGCCTGCCGCTCATGCTGTGGAAGCCCCCTGCGCCCATCTATCCCAAGCTCATCCAAGACGCGCCTGGGGGGTTGACTCTGAGGCAGGCTCAAGAGCTAAGACGCATCGGCAGGAAGATCAAGCCACTCTGCAAGCTGGGTACGTGCATGCGTGCATACAGCCTCACACACACACACAGACGCTCTCACCTGCACCGCTCTAACCTTGAGGCAGGCGCAGGGGCAGCAGCGGCGCACTGGCAGGAAGATCTCGCCTCTGTGCAAGCTGGGCACGTGTGTAGTATGCACATGCTGAGAACATGCTGTTTTTTTAGGCGCCTCAAAGTACGTGTGAATGGACAAGCTACGCACGTGCTGTGTCTATGCCCTTGCCTCTCTCCCCTCACTCAACTCCCACCCTCTCTCTCCTCCTCTGCCCGATCCACCCATTGCAGGCAAGAACGGCATGTACCGCCGGTTAATGGGTGTGGTGAGAGCATTGTGCTGTTCACCCCCCACTAGCTCCACTTCCCCTTCGCCCCCACCCCCCTTCCCGCCCGATCCACTCGTTGCTGGCAAGAGCGGCGTGTACCGCCGGTTAATGGGTGTGGTGAGAGCGGTAAGGGTGTGTGAGCGTCAACTCCACAACCACTCGACCCTCACTGTCTCTCTTCTCTTGCTCCTCTCCCTCCATTCCCGCGCGCCCCCCCCTACCCCCTCCCCTCACCGCAGGCAAGAACGGAGTGTACCACCGGCTGGTGGGCGTGGTGAGGGCGGGGTTTGAGGAGGCGGATCTGGTGCGAGTGGATTGCAAGGGCATGAACAAGAGCGATTACAAGAAGATTGGTGCGAAGCTGCGGGTGAGTGGAGTGTTTGGGAGTTTATGTGTGGTGAGGCCAGTCAAAGGGGTTCGAGGAGGCTGACCATGCGAGTAGGCTGCAAGGGCATGAACAAGAGCGATTACAAGGAGGTTGGCGCAAAGCTAAGAGTGAGCAGGGAAGGTTGATCTGAGGAGGGTTTCTCTGGACAAGGTTCGCCTGGTGCGGGTGGACTGCAAGGGGCATGAACAAGAGCAATTGCAAGAAGATCGGCGCGAAACTAAGGGTGAGCGTTGTTTGTGTTGACAGGTGTGTGCGTGTGTGTGTGTTTGGGGCAATGCTGAGGAAGTTACTTTTGAGTCGACTCAAAAGTCACCTCGTTTGACAGGGGTGTGTGTGTGTGTTTGGGGCAATGCTGAGGAAGTTACTTTTGAGTCGACTCAAAAGGCACCTCGTTTGACAGGTGTGTGTGTGTGTGTGTGTGTGTGTGTGTGTGTGTGTGTGTGTGTTTGGGGCAATGCTGAGGAAGTTACTTTTGAGTCGACTCAAAAGTCACCTCGTTTGACAGGGGTGTGTGTGTGTGTGTTTGGGGCAATGCTGAGGAAGTTACTTTTGAGTCGACTCAAAAGTCACCTCGTTTGACAGGGGTGTGTGTGTGTGTTTGGGGCAATGCTGAGGAAGTTACTTTTGAGTCGACTCAAAAGTCACCTCGTTTGACAGGGGTGTGTGTGTGTGTGTTTGGGGCAATGCTGAGGAAGTTACTTTTGAGTCGACTCAAAAGTCACCTCGTTTGACAGGGGTGTGTATGTGTGTGTTTGGGGCAATGCTGAGGAAGTTACTTTTGAGTCGACTCAAAGTCACCTCGTTTGACAGGGGTGTGTATGTGTGTGTTTGGGGCAATGCTGAGGAAGTTTCTTTTGAGTCGACTCAAAAGTCACCTCGTTTGACAGGGGTGTGTGTGTGTGTGTTTGGGGCAATGCTGAGAAAGTTACTTTTGAGTCGACTCAAAAGTCACCTCGTTTGACAGGGGTGTGTGTGTGTGTGTGTTTGGGGCAATGCTGAGGAAGTTACTTTTGAGTCGACTCAAAAGTCACCTCGTTTGACAGGGGTGTGTGTGTGTGTGTTTGGGGCAATGCTGAGAAAGTTACTTTTGAGTCGACTCAAAACTCACCTCGTTTGACAGGTGTGTGTGTGTGTGTGTTTGGGGCAATGATGAGGAAGTTACTTTTGAGTCGACTCAAAAGTCACCTCGTTTGACAGGGGTGTGTATGTGTGTGTTTGGGGCAATGCTGAGGAAGTTACTTTTGAGTCGACTCAAAAGTCACCTCGTTTGACAGGGGTGTGTATGTGTGTGTTTGGGGCAATGCTGATGAAGTTTCTTTTGAGTCGACTCAAAAGTCACCTCGTTTGACAGGGGTGTGTGTGTGTGTGTTTGGGGCAATGCTGAGAAAGTTACTTTTGAGTCGACTCAAAAGTCACCTCATTTGACAGGGGTGTGTGTGTGTGTGTGTTTGGGGGAATGCTGAGAAAGTCACTTTTGAGTCGACTCAAAAGTCACCTCGTTTGACAGGGGTGTGTGTGTGTGTTTGGGGCAATGCTGAGGAAGTTACTTTTGAGTCGACTCAAAAGTCACCTCGTTTGACAGGGGTGTGTGTGTGTGTGTTTGGGGCAATGCTGAGGAAGTTACTTTTGAGTCGACTCAAAATGCACCTCGTTTGACAGGTGTGTGTGTGTGTGTGTGTGTTTGGGGCAATGCTGAGGAAGTTACTTTTGAGTCGACTCAAAAGTCACCTCGTTTGACAGGGGTGTGTGTGTGTGTTTGGGGCAATGCTGAGGAAGTTACTTTTGAGTCGACTCAAAAGTCACCTCGTTTGACAGGGGTGTGTGTGTGTTTTTGGGGCAATGCTGAGGAAGTTACTTTTGAGTCGACTCAAAAGTCACCTCGTTTGACAGGGGTGTGTGTGTGTGTGTTTGGGGCAATGCTGAGGAAGTTACTTTTGAGTCGACTCAAAAGTCACCTCGTTTGACAGGGGTGTGTATGTGTGTGTTTGGGGCAATGCTGAGGAAGTTACTTTTGAGTCGACTCAAAGTCACCTCGTTTGACAGGGGTGTGTATGTGTGTGTTTGGGGCAATGCTGAGGAAGTTTCTTTTGAGTCGACTCAAAAGTCACCTCGTTTGACAGGGGTGTGTGTGTGTGTGTTTGGGGCAATGCTGAGAAAGTTACTTTTGAGTCGACTCAAAAGTCACCTCATTTGACAGGGGTGTGTGTGTGTGTGTGTTTGGGGGAATGCTGACAAAGTTACTTTTGAGTCGACTCAAAAGTCACCTCGTTTGACAGGGGTGTGTGTGTGTGTGTGTTTGGGGCAATGCTGAGGAAGTTACTTTTGAGTCGACTCAAAAGTCACCTCGTTTGACAGGGGTGTGTGTGTGTGTGTTTGGGGCAATGCTGAGAAAGTTACTTTTGAGTCGACTCAAAACTCACCTCGTTTGACAGGTGTGTGTGTGTGTGTGTTTGGGGCAATGCTGAGGAAGTTACTTTTGAGTCGACTCAAAAGTCACCTCGTTTGACAGGGGTGTGTATGTGTGTGTTTGGGGCAATGCTGAGGAAGTTACTTTTGAGTCGACTCAAAAGTCACCTCGTTTGACAGGGGTGTGTATGTGTGTGTTTGGGGCAATGCTGAGGAAGTTACTTTTGAGTCGACTCAAAAGTCACCTCGTTTGACAGGGGTGTGTATGTGTGTGTTTGGGGCAATGCTGATGAAGTTTCTTTTGAGTCGACTCAAAAGTCACCTCGTTTGACAGGGGTGTGTGTGTGTGTGTTTGGGGCAATGCTGAGAAAGTTACTTTTGAGTCGACTCAAAAGTCACCTCATTTGACAGGGGTGTGTGTGTGTGTGTGTTTGGGGCAATGCTGAGGAAGTTACTTTTGAGTCGACTCAAAAGTCACCTCGTTTGACAGGGGTGTGTGTGTGTGTGTGTTTGGGGCAATGCTGAGGAAGTTACTTTTGAGTCGACTCAAAAGTCACCTCGTTTGACAGGGGTGTGTGTGTGTGTGTTTGGGGCAATGCTGAGAAAGTTACTTTTGAGTCGACTCAAAACTCACCTCGTTTGACAGGGGTGTGTGTGTGTGTGTTTGGGGCAATGCTGAGGAAGTTACTTTTGAGTCGACTCAAAAGTCACCTCGTTTGACAGGGGTGTGTGTGTGTGCGTTTGGGGCAATGCTGAGGAAGTTACTTCGTTTGACATGATGAGTCTCTCACACCGTGTAACATTTCTATGTCTGAAAATCAGGCCCTCTCATTGGCCTCGCACTGCACCCTCTTGCCTCCTCTCACCCTCTTGCCTCCTCTCACCCTCTTGCCTCCTCTCACCCTCTTGCCTCCTCTCACCCTCTTGCCTCCTCTCACCCTCTTGCCTCCTCTCACCCTCTTGCCTCCTCTCACCCTCTTGCCTCCTCTCACCCTCCTGCCTCCTCTCACCCTCTTGCCTCCTCTCACCCTCTTGCCTCCTCTCACCCTCTTGCCTCCTCTCACCCTCTTGCCTCCTCTCACCCTCTTGCCTCCTCTCACCCTCTTGCCTCCTCTCACCCTCTTGCCTCCTCTCACCCTCTTGCCTCCTCTCACCCTCTTGCCTCCTCTCACCCCTTGCTTCCTCCCCACCTCCTTTCCTCCTCTCACCCCTGTGCCTCTTCTCATCCCCTTCTCTGTGATTGGACCCCACCAGGACCTGGTGCCATGTGTCCTCCTCTCATTCGACAAGGAGCAGATCCTCATGTGGCGCGGGCTGGACTCCAAAGAACCTTCCTCTGAATCTTCCCCCAAAGCTTCCTTTGAAACTTCCACAGTGGCACTGGCAGAAGCAGCCATTGCAGGTTCAGTGGCAGAGGGGGGGGGGAACAATCTGGCAGGAAGTATTTCAGGGGGGTTGGTGGGAGGTGGGAATGTGGGAGTGGAGGCTGGGATGGAAGGAGGGGAGGTGGGAGAGAGGCAGGGAGGTGTGTGGAAGTTTGATGTGGAGGATGAGGGGGAGGTGGAGGTGAGTGTGAGTGTGGATGCAGATGGTGTGATGGTGGTAGGTGGGGAGGAGGGGGAGGAGGAAGAAGGGGAGGGGGAATGGGAGGAGGAAGTGGGTGGTCGGGATGGAGATGATTGGAACGACGAGGAGAGGTGGGGCGTGGAGGGAGGGAGCAGGGATGGAAGCAGCAGTGGTGGCAAGAGTGGGAGCGAGGGAGACTGGCATGAAAGTGACAGAGACACTGACAACGAAAGAGCAAGAAGCCATAATCAAGCAATTTCCCAACGATTTTCTCCAGGCCCCCCTCAAGAATTATCCAAGGGATCATCTCAAAGTGGCACTCAAGGAGAAGGCTCTTCAAGGCATGTGAAGGGTATTGGAAATGGACAAGTGGGCCTGGATACTGCTGTGTCATCTTCCACAGAGAATGGAGATGAAGCGGTCTTCGATGAGTTCGAGGAGCTTTGGGAGAAGGCGACAAAAAGCGGGGAGATAACGCCGCTAGGTGGCTCAAATCTTTGACGTAAATCAAACAAATTTATATTATTCATGTGTTGGGATGTGTGCCATGGTGGGCAGCTGGTTATCACAGATTGGTGATGAATTGAAACGATTGTGCTGGCATATTGCAATATATTGCATCATATGTCCTCAAGCAAGGTATATTGTGGAAGAGGCAAGCTAATACTACAATGTTTTTGCGAGCTGCTTGAAAGTGTGTACTATTGCATGTGCCGCAGCGGTTCTTATAAAGAACACGCTCGACTGCCTCAGCTGCGCTGTAATTGGCCAGCAATGCTGGCTCATGGCTGGTGATGGACTAGGAGTTCTCGAAGAAGTCTTCCCTCGCGCGCCTACCACAACCACAACCAACCATCATTGCCCATCCCACCTTGGGGTTGGGAACACATCGCTGCGCGACGTACCATACCCTTCACGAACATCTCGCCCTGTCGCAGAACGGGGGTTGTTGGCCAGTATCAGCGGCCGTACTGGTCAGCTGTTTCACACGACCCTTCAAAGCGTCGCACTGGCTCCCGTTACGAAATCTTTTTCCACTCCCGCGGTCGCAGGGTCTCCACCAGTCGTACAGTTTACTCCAATGTTCTACAGTTTCCCTTCCTTCCAGATCTTCCATTCCAAGCCCACCTCCTAATCTACCTTCTGTTGGCAGAAAATTCGAGTTTCAAATTAGTCCCTTCAGAATTGGCTCAGCTTTTGCTTACCATTCTTTCTGATCCAGCCAACCCAGGGTTGCTGATAGAAGATCGGCGACAATGGTGCGTTTCTTACTTCATGCTGCCCCTCCGAGTCGGAAAAAATCGCCTTTTGTTGGTAGGTTATCTCGGTTTTCGCTAACACATTGCGTGTTCTGCGGTTTCTTTTCTTCCTTTTTTTCTCCGCAGGGTAGGAAGTTGTGGTGCCTTTTCGTGATCGCGCTCCTACTATGTGCGTCCATCCACGCCGCCGACGCGAAGAAAAAGAAAAAGGTAGTAGTGGAGGAAGAGGAGGCAGCTGACGAGGGAAGCGCCGCGGCTGAGCAGAGCGACGAGGGAGACGCAGAAGAGAAAACGACCTCCAAAGCTTCCAAATCCGACGCTGAAGCGTCAGAGGATGAAGACGCAGAGCCGCCTGCGAAACCCTTAAAGTCGTCGAAAAAAGCCAGCAAGCTCAAGAAGGCAGCGGAGGAGGACGAGGGGGAGGAGAAGGAGGAAGCAGCAGCAGACGCCGACGAGGCTGATGCCCCTGCTCCGAAAAGGGTAAAGTCTGCAAAGAAAGCGAGCGACGACGAAGAGGAGGACGCAGACGCTGCACCTGTCGCTAAGAAAAAGGCTGCAGCGGACGACGAGGAAGCTTCCGCGGAAACGGAGGACGAAGAGGAAGCTCCTGCGGCGAAAAAGAAGCCTGCAGCAAAAAAGAAGGCTGCAGCCGCGGAGGAGGAAGGTGGGGAAGATGAATCAGCCGAGGAGGAGGATAAGCCGAGCATGGCCGCTGCAGCTAAGGCCGCCAGCGCGAAGGAAGCGGCTACAGAAGAGGACGAGGAAGCAGAGAGCGAGAAGGTAACGGCGACTGAAGCCGATGAGGAGAAACCCGCTGGTGCGAAAGCTGCGAAGGGCGGCGTCGCGGCTGTTTCTAAGGAGCCGCCTATGGAGTCGCCGAAAGTCCCAGTCTCGGCGTGGAAGTCGAAAAACCAGACGCGCGACGACATTGATCCGCAAGGTTTGCATTCGAAATTGCGTCGACGCGACCTCATTGATACTCAACTCGTCCGTTAGATCCTTTGTAGCAAGATCGTACGGCCGACACGGTAGGATTCTAACTAGAAAGATTTTCCTTTTTCGCGATTCAGGTGCTTGCAAGCGGGACATCACGCTTCACTGCCAGGGGATTACGCCCGGCGAGGCTCAGCTGTCGCTGTGCCTCGTCTTCCACATCAAGAACGAGAAGGCTGGCAACGAAGTCGCCAGTAAGCTCCGCACGCGAATCAATCTCCGTTGTTACAATCTCTTTCGGACCATCGTTTCAAAACACCATCCGTTTCGCGATTCGGAGCGTAGGATTTCGAGAACGGATTTCCGCCGTGTTGTCTATCGTAAACCGTTCATTTGCCTGGTGCTCCACCTCTCGTGCGGTTGGCAGCGATCATGGTGTCCAAGAAGTGCCGAGCGGAGATCCGGCAGTTCCGCTCCGACATGTACAGGGACCTCTCAATGGACAAGGCAATGTGTGCGTTTCCCTATCCTAAACTTCTCTCGCGCCTGTGAAGGATGAACAACCGCTACCTCCCTGTCCAAAATCACGCTCAACCTTTGTTTCGCAACGTTGAATCTCTGCTTGCCTTTCATTTCTATCTATGGCTCCCTCGTGTCCTGATGCCTGTATTTGAGCGGCTTTGGGCCCCGGTTCGTTGCGTGGCTGGCTGGCTGGCAGCGACGGCGTGCAAGGCGGACATCACCAAGTTCTGCGACGACGACTTCCTCTATCCCGAACCCGGCAACATCATTGCTTGCCTCAGGTACGCGAACGCTCTTGCGCAGACAGGCAAATGCGCAGCCGTTTTCTGTTTCCAGACAAACGCACAGTCGAGTATGCTGACATGTGCACGAAAACGATGGGTATTCTTTTTCTCGCATGCTTTTTCTCCATTTATTTTGTATACCATCGAACCAGTTGTATGCGGACGTGTAACCCGATGCTATTAATGGAAAATGATTGTCAACTCAACGAGAAAAAATGTTCTGAAATGGTGTTCAGGGAGGTGAAGCAGGTGGAGAAGCTGCAGGACGCGTGTCTGGCGGAGGTGCTGCGGCACCAGATGGAGGCGGCGGACGACTTCGTGATGGACCCGCAGCTCCGCGAGCTCTGCAGCGGCGAGGCTGACCGCCTCTGCAAGGGCGTCGAGCCCGGGGAAGGCCGCATTCAGAACTGCTTGGTTAGTGTGTCTCACACGGAGGGAGTCTATCTCTTAGGCACCTTAGGATTAGCGAGGGCGTGAAGCAGGGTAAAGGACGCATTCAGAACTGCCTGGTCAGTGTGTCACATAGGGAGACTAGTTTTTAGACGCCTGAGAAGTACCGTGGGCGTGTATTCCGGCTAAGGCCGTATTCAGAACTGCCTGGTCTGTGCGTCACAGACACAGGGAGCCTTAGGCACCTTAGACATTGTGAGGCCGCGTTCAGACAGGGAGACGGACGGACAGGCAGACGGGGAGACGGACGTTTAGACGAGGCAGAAGGACAGGTAGGTGGACAGGCAGACGTGGGAGACGGAGATTTAGACGGATAGGCAGAAGGACAGGTAGATGGACAGCTAGACGTGGGAGACGGACATTTTGACGGATATGCAGGACAGATAGATGGACAAGCAGACGGACAGAGGCGACCAGGCAGACGGACAGTCAGACGGATATGTAGACGGACAGACAGGCTGGCAGACGGAAAGACGGACGGACAGACTGTTACAAGTCCACAGACGGACAGAAAGATAGCTGTTTGTCAGTGAGTGGCGATGATTTCTTTCTTTGAAGGTGCTGATTGTGGGGCTGTGGTGGTGTGGTGGGGTTGCGCTGTGACGCAGAGGGAGCACCGTGCGAAGCTGGCGTGGGATTGCCAGGCGGAGCTGTTCCGGCAGGAGGTGGAGAACGCCGATGACATCCGTCTAAACGTTCGCCTCTTCCAAGGTCAGGCTTCCCTCCTACCCGCCAGGTGCGCCTTCCTCCAACGGGGCCTTCCCCCATCAGGTAAACCTTCCCCCAGCAGGTAAGCCTTCCCCCAGCAGGTAAGCCTTCCCCCATCAGGTAAGCCTTCCCCCAGCAGGACAGCCTTCCCCCAGCAGGTAAGCCTTCCCCCAGCAGGAAAGCCTTCCCCCAGCAGGTAAGCCTTCCCCCAGCAGGAAAGCCTTCCGCCAGCAGGTAAGCCTTCCCCCAGCAGGAAAGCCTTTCCCCAGCAGGTAAGCCTTCCCCCAGCAGGTAAGCCTTCCCCCAGCAGGAAAGCCTTTCCCCAGCAGGTAAGCCTTCCCTTCCCCCAGCAGATAAGCCTTCCCCCAGCAGGTAAGCCTTCCCCCAGCAGGTAAGCCTTCCCCCAGCAGGTAAGCCTTCCCACCTTCCAGATACGCCTTGTCACCACAGGTATGGCTTCCTACCCAGCTGGTACGGGTTACAGAATGAGCAATCATGGCTTCCCCACCCAGCAGATACGCATTTGAAATGGAGCAATCATGGCTTTCCACCCAGCAGATACGGGTTCCCAACCATCATTTACAGCTTTCCCTGTCTGAACGTATTTCTTCTTCCCCCCGTACGCGTCTTCCTACTCGTTCCCTTTTTACATTCTTCGGTGCTATTTTTCCACAATTTTACTCCCCCTTCCCTCCCCCCTACCCCCTCCCGACTTTCCTCACCAGCGTGTGCAGCGTGTTTGAACGCCAGTGCAAGTTCTGTTCTGTGCGGATGTGAAGTATGGGGACGCGCGTATGAAGGACTGCTGTTCGAGGCGCCTAAAACGATTTCCTTTTCCCTCCCTCCCTTTCCGCGCCCCCTTCCCTGCGTGCACAGCGTGCCTGAACGACCAGCGCAAGTTCTGTGCAGATGTGAAGTATGGAGATGCGCGTGTGAAGGACTGCCTGGAGGACCATCGCCTCGACGACGAGTTCTCCCCTGGCTGGTACGCCTCTCGCTCCCGGAGGGGCGACTGAGGAAGTTTCGTGTGCACAGATCCGGCTTATCCAATGAATCCTTGCTGCGTATCTCTGACTGGATCCCTTGTGCTTGTCATGCTTCTTATAGAATCTGGTCACCTTTGCCCCACCCTCCCTGATGCTTTTTTTTTTTCCCGGGCAGCAAGACGGAGTTTGAGAAGATGATGGCGCGGAGGGCGACGGACTTCAGGCTGGACTCGCGCCTGCGCAAGTACTGCAAGGGCGACATTGCCGAGGTGCGAGGGTGGGGGGTGGGACAGTGTGTGTAGAGGTGCAAGGGTTGAGGGCGACGGACTTCAGGCTGGACTTGCGCCTGCGCAAGTACTGCAAGGGCGATATTGCCGAGGTGCGTGCGTTGGGGCATGGCAGAGGTGGTGGGATGGGGTTTGCAGAGGTGCGTGCGTGCGTGTGTGGGGTGGGAGTGCAGAGCAGAGGTGCGTGGGTGGGTGGGGTAAGAGTGTAAAGGTGTATGCTATGCAAGAGAAAAAATTGCACAAGTGCATGCAAAGGGGGGCAGTGCCCAGTTTTGTGTCATGGTGGGGGTGCTAGAGGTGCGTGCAAGAGGAGCATTGCAGAGGTGCGTGGGTGGGGGGGCATGGCATACACCTCTCCCCTCTCCCCTCTCCTCTCTCCCCTCTCCCCTCTCCCCTCTCCCCTCTCCCCCCTCCCACTCCTTCACCCCCCCCCCCCCTCCCCTCCCTCCCTTTTCCCCCACCTCTCCCTGCAGATCTGCTTCCCGGATGCGGAGGACATATCGGACGTGGCAAACTAAGATGCCTTGTCTCCCTCTCCCTCGTGAAAGAAGGAGTGTTTTGAGACGTCTCAAAACACTCCTTCTTTCACAAACTAAGACGCCTTGTCTCCCTCTCCCTCACACGCTTCCTCTTCCCCCATGCCCCCAATCCACCCACTCCCCCACAGATCTGCTACCCGGATGCGGAGGACATATCAGACGTGGCGAACTACGACGCCAAGGTGATCCAGTGTCTGCAGGACTACCGAGACGAGCTCAAGGACCCCAAGTGCAAGGCGCAGGTGCACAAGCTCACCGAGAGGGAGATCGACATCCGCTTCAACAAGCCGCTCGCCGACGCCTGCCAAGGTAATCCCGTGCTGCTCGCCTGCCAAGGTGAGTCAGGAAGGCATTGCGGCGCCTGCCCTCTCTGACTGTTGCATTGCCATTTCTTATTGTTTCCCCCCGTTTTGTATCAAATTCACGTCCTAAACTGCTGGTTTCCTTCAACTCCACACCCCCACACCCCCATCCCACAACGCACAGCAAATAGCACGACGGTGTGCCAAGACGCGTCGAACGGGTGGTTGTTGTTGTTTCATGTGTCTTCTCAGATCTGCCTCACAGCACGTGCTTCAATCAACCCCTCTCCCACGTCCCCAGACCCCCATACCTCGACGCCCATATCCCCATACCTCCACGCCCATACCCCCATCCCTCCACGCCCATGCCCCCGACCCCCCACGCCCATACCCCCATCCCTCCACGCCCATGCCCCCAACCCCCCACGCCCATACCGCCATCCCTCCACGCCCAGCTGATCGCACAACGGTGTGCAAGGATGCACCGGACGGGCAGGCGTCGGTGTTCATGTGCCTGCAGGACCACATGCCGCAGCTCAAGGAGGCCTGCCGCAACTCTGTCTTCGAGCAGGTGAGGACTGCACCACATTCACAGGGCTTGCGATTGCGAAAGAGCAGACCAGCAGGACCGCGTCTCCTTCCAGCTAATGGAGGCGTTCTGCAACTCCGTGTTTGAGCAGATACAGCCGTGCCTCATGCAATTACTCATCATCATGCTCCTTTGCACCATATGAGGTGACGTCTGCGTCAATCCACCTACCTACTTTTCACCTCTTCACACCTCACTCGACCCGCTCTCCCTTCCACTCTGTCAGCTCGTGCGCATGGCAAAGGTCATTGACTTCAAGTCAGTGATAAGCATTCATTCACCTGTCGTTCACCCCTTTACACCGCGCCCCAACCCCCCCAGTTGGTGCGCATGGCGGATGACATAGACTTCAAGTTCCCCATGAAGAAGGCGTGCCAGTCGGAGATTGGCAGAGGAGATTGACTTGCATTCATTCACCCCTTCACACTCCTCTCCACCGCGTCGAACTCCAACCCCCCTCCCCCCCCAGTTGGTGCGCATGGCGGAGGACATAGACTTCAAGTTCCCCATGAAGAAGGCGTGCCAGTCGGAGCTCGACAAGTTCTGCAAGGACGTGCCCCACGGTGAGTCATGCCCACCCAGCTCGCCGGGAGTTCTGAGACGGCTTAAAACTCCAGAGCCTGCCAGTCGGAGCTCGACAAGTTCTGCAAGGACGTGCCCCACAGTGAGTTGTGCCCCACAGTGAGTTGTGCCCCACAGTGAGTTGTGCCCCACAGTGAGTTGTGCCCCACAGTGAGTTGTGCCCCACAGTGAGTTGTGCCCCACAGTGAGTTGTGCCCCACAGTGAGTTGTGCCCCACAGTGAGTTGTGCCCGCTGCAAGATTGCAGTGAGCTGTGCTTGAACTCGCGAATAGCTGTTTTCAAACTCATGCTGATTTTCTGAGGTAATCCGCCCAGTCCTCCCCACCCATTCTCTCTCCATCCTTCACACCCTCCCTAACGCCCTCCCTCACACCCTCTCTCACACCATCGCTCACACCCTGCCTTCCTCCCTCCTTCGGATGTTCACCCGTCGCCCGCAGACCATGCCTCATGCTTCAAGTGTCTGCATGACCACGTTCCCCCCTGTTGTTGCAGCAGGCGATGTTTTATAATTCTCCAAACACGCCTGTCTTCCTCCCATGTTCACTCAGTTCACTCCCAATGCCACCCTGACCCTACGTCCATTGCTCTTCCTCATCACACCCTCCCTCCCTGACCTTCCCCCACTCTCTCCCTTCCCCCGATTGCATTCATCACCCGCCCGCCCGCAGAGCATGCATCGCGCATCAAGTGTCCGCAGGGCCACATCTCCTCCTCTCTTCTTTACACCCCCATATCTACCCCGTGCTTGACTCACACTCCTTCCTGCCTCCCTATACTGCCCATGAGCTCATCACCCGCCACCAGGCCATGCATCGCGCATCAAGTGTCTGCAGGACCACATTGCTTCCTTTAATCCTCTTCTCCCTGCCCATGTTCACTCTCCTTCACCACCCTGCCCCCCATGCGCCCATCACCCGCCACCAGGCCATGCATCACGCATCAAGTGTCTGCAGGACCACACATCCTCCTTTGCTCTTCCTCTCACGCCCTCACTCACCGTCCATCACTCTCCCTCCCTGTCCCCCCATGCGCTCATCACCCGCCCTCAGGCCACGCATCGCGCATCAAGTGTCTGCAGGACCACATTGACGACGCTGATTTCGGAGAGGCGTGTCGCAAGGAGGTGCAATCGGACCTCGTGCGATCGGCACAAGGTGAGGGCTCACTGGGATATGCATGATGGTGCTTGAGAATGGCATGCACACTCAGTCATGTTCACAAAACGACTTTGGGGAGGCGTGCCGCAAGGAGGCCCAATCTGGCCTCGTGCGATTGGCGCAAGGTGAGCACTTCCTCCTCTGCTTCTCATCCTCTTTCTTTCACACATGCCTCTTAATCGCCTCTCCCTCCACCATCGTTCCTGTCCCCCCGTCCCTATCTCCCCATGAGGCGTATCTCCCCCCCCCCTCCCCAACATTCTGAAACCACTGCTTCCACCAACCACAACCCCGCCCATTCCTCCTCGTCCCTCCCCCAGACTACTGGCTGAACTACCGGCTGCACAAGGCGTGTCTGCCGGACATCCAGCAGCAGTGCCTGCATGCGTTCACTGCACCTGCCTTCACTCACTCACCTGTTACGCTGTTACCCTAACCACCCCGGCTTTCCCCTTTCTCTCCTTCCAGACTACCGGCTGAACTACCGGCTGCACAAGGCATGTCTGCCGGACATCCAGCAGCAGTGCCTGCACGCGTGCGACGCCGCATCAGCCAACGGCACGGCCACGTGCGGCGGCATGGTGCTGCGCTGCCTGCAGGACAACAAGGCCAAGCTGCAATCGCCCTCCTGCGCCCAGGAGGTGGACTCCTTCAGCGTGATTCAGTCCAAGGACCCCCTGTCCTTGGATGTGCCGCTGCAGAAGGCGTGTGAGGGGGATCTGGTCAAGCTGTGCCCGGATGTGAGCCGGGACCACGCTCGCACGCTCTCGTGCCTGCGGACCAAGAGGGAGAAGCTGTCGACATCGTGCCGGGAGGAGGAGATGCGATTCAGCATCATGGAGGTGGGTGCTGGGTGGTTCTGTGCGGTGACCGGGTGTGTGGAGGTGTGGGTATGAGTGTCGTACTGCGTCTCCCAGTGAGTGCCTGAGGATTTGGAAGCAGAAGATGTTGATGCCGTGTCGGGAGGAGGAGATGCGCTTTGGCATCATGGTGTTGGTGTGGAATCTGGATGGTGGCAGGTTTTCTCTATACGTTCAAGCGTTGTTGCTCTGGTGGACTTACTCATTGTTCTTCCCCTCTTTCTTCCCGTCCCCTTCTCCTTCCCCTTTCCATCTCTTTCCCCGTCCGTTTTGTTGCTTCTTGTGCCAGGCATCGGACATTCGCCTCACACCGTCACTCATGAACGCATGCGGCCAAGGTGAGACCCTGCCGCCCTGGTACAAACCATCCTGCCTGCAATCGGCCTGTTTGGCAGGCAAGCCATGCACTCACTGCATGCATGCGCTCACCGCATGCATGCGCTCACTGCATGCATGCGCTCACTGCATGCATGCGCTCACTGCATGCATGCGCTCACTGCACCACCTGCTCCTTCCACGTTCACACCAACTCCTCCTGTCCTTCGGGTCTTGGCTGCTCCATTCCCCAGCTCCCTTCACCCCGTCCTATTCACAGAGCTGCAGAGCCTGTTGAGCCGCGTGCGTGTCCCCTCACACAACCTGTCCCGCTCAACCCCCCTCCACTCTTTCAAGTCGACTCAAAAGTCGTGCGTGTCCCCGCACAGAACCTGTTCCCCTCAACCCCCCTCCACTCTTACTTACTTTTTGCTTCTCCTCTCCCCCACACACACACCTGGTCCTCCCACACACAGAGCTGCAGAGCCTGTGCCGCGATGCACCTGCCTGGTTTTTGAGAATTCTCAAAAACCCCGTGTAGTGAGGTGTATTTTGAGGCGCCTCAAAATACACCTCACTACACGCGGATTTCATACGGAGAGAAAAACCAGCTGCAGAGCCTGTGCCGCGATGCACCTGCCACGGAGGGAGGCGTTCAAGTGTCTGCAGGAGCCCCTCTCCCCATCCCTTCTCACACCCCTTCCCTTCCCCATCCCCGTCCTTTTTTGCCCTGATTTTTGTCCCCCTCTCCCTCGTCTCCTCTCCATCCACAGAGCTGCAGAGTCTGTGCCGTGACGCGCCCCCCACGGAGGGGCAGGCGTTCAAGTGTCTGCAGGAGCACCTGCAGGACGTGGGCATGGGCGCGGCGTGCAAGGGCGAGGTGAACCTGCAGGAGGCGCGGCACGCCTCCAACTACCGCCTGGACGTGCGTGTGCGCAAGGAGTGCGAGGACGACGTCACCAAGTTCTGCAACGGCGTGGACGCGGGGCAGGAGGGCCATGCGCTCGTGCTCAAGTGCATGGTCGGCAGCTTCAAGAGCCTCTCCTCCTCCTGCCAGTCCGAGGTGCGTGCCTCTGTGTGTGGGGGGAGGGGGGAGGGGGGGATGGAAGTCAAGGGCGAGGCGAGACTGTGATGCCATTGGATGTACGTGCTGAATAGGGAGAGCAAGGCGAGCCTAGTGCTCGTGACCCTCAACGGTGTCGACGCGGGGCAGGAGGGGCATGCGCTCGTGCTCAAGTGCATGGTCGGCAGCTTTAAGAGCCTCTCTGCGTCCTGCCAGTCTGAGGTGCGTTCCTCTGTGTGTATGTGCGTCCCTCTGTGTGTATGTGCGTCCCTCTGTGTATGTGCGTCCCTCTGTGTGTATGTGCGTCCCTCTGTGTGTATGTGCGTCCCTCTGTGTGTATGTGCGTTCCTCTGTGTGTATGTGCGTTCCTCTGTGTGTATGTGCGTCCCTCTGTGTGTATGTGCGTCCCTCTGTGTTTATGTGCGTCCCTCTGTGTGTATGTGCGTCCCTCTGTGTGTATGTGCGTCCCTCTGTGTGTATGTGCGTCCCTCTGTGTGTATGTGCGTCCCTCTGTGTGTATGTGCGTCCCTCTGTGTGTATGTGCGTCCCTCTGAGTGCAGGTGCGTCCCTCTGTGTGCAGGTGCGTCCCTCTGTGTGCATGTGGAGGGGAAAAGGTGGGTGGAAGGGAAATGTTGGGTGAGCTCAACCCAAATCGCCACCTCTTTCCTTCCCCTCCCCTTCCAGATGTCCTATGCGGTGCGCATGGCATGGCTCCCGTCCATTACCACAAAGCGTATCACTGTGCTGTTAGAGGGCATGGGAACCCATACTTCTTCCTGTTGCTCATCCCCCCCCTCCATCTCTCTACATCTTCCACCCCCCTCCTCCACTTTCAGGTGTCCTATGCGGTGCGCATGGCCCTCTTCCAGTACCACAAGGGAGCAGCACTCACGCAGCCGTGCGACACAGCAGTAGAAGAGCTCTGCAACACCGGCAGTGCCGCTGCTGCCACCACGCCCGTCAAAGAGATCAACGGCGCTGTCATCGGTGTGTACGGGCAGTGCCTCGTGTCGCAGAAGCGCCAGCGCCTGCCGGAGGAGTGTCGCACGCTGGTGAAGCTGGTGGCCAAGGAGGGCGCGTATGTGGGCGGCACCGTGGACCAGAACAAGCTTGAGGAGACACTCATGAAGCTCAAGGCGGTGAGGCCCCTGGGTGCATGGGATGGGATGCAGTGCGGTGGAATGGGGTGTGATTGATGTGTATGTATGTGTGGGTGCGGTGCGGTCTGGGCCTGGGTGCGGTGGGTTGCAGTGGGACGGGATGAAGTGAACCGTGGTGTGATGGGCGCGTATGTGGGCGGCACTGTGGACCCCAACAAGCTCGAACAGACCCTCATGAAGCTCAAGGCAGTAAGGGCTGAGACTCTTGGGAGCATGGGGTGGGATGTAGTACAGTGGGGTGTGGTGCGGTGAAAATTGGTGGTGTGATGGGCGTGTACGGGCAGTGCCTGGTGTTGCAGAAGCGCTGTCAGCCACAGGTTCACGAAATCACTTTTGAGAATTCTCAAAAATAATTTCAACATCGTAGAGAATTCTCAGAAGTAATTTCAACATCGTAGAGAATTCTCAAAAGTGATTTCAACATCGCAGAGAATTCTCAAAAGTGATTTCAACATCGCAGAAGCGCTGTGAACTACAGGTTCTTGAGCCCCACTGTTCCAATCACTAAACACCATCACCACCCACCAATCCGCCACTCTTACCCATCCCCTTCCTCTTCCAAGCAGCTACAGGAGGCAGCAGCAGCGGCAACAACAGCAGACGGCGGGAGAATCGTTGCTCACGACACAGGGCTCGTCATTTCCCGGCTGGCTGGCTGCTGCTGCTCTCGCAGCCGTGGTCATTGTCGCCATTGCCATCGGCTGTGCCGTTTACCACAGGCTCTTCAGCCCGGATGCCCTGAACTCTGCCAATCACTAAACACCAACACGTCCCTGCCTCCTGCTCCTTTTCATGTGCTCCCCTCCCTCCCCTCCCCTCCCCTTTCCCTCTCCAAGCAGCTACAGGAGGCTGCAACAGCAGCGACAACAGCAGACGGTGGGAGGGTGGTCCCTCACGACACAGGCCTCGTGATTTCCGGCTGGCTGGCTGCTGCTGCCCTCGCAGCCGTGGTCATTGTCGCCATTGCTATCAGCTGTGCTGTCTACTACAGGTTCTTTAGCCCCACTCGCAACTACACTCTGGTTGTTAAGTCCGCTCCTGGTGCTGTTGGGGTGTAGCTTTGAGTACCTTTGAGCTGACTTAGTCGCATCAGCTGTACCGACTACACAGGTCTTCAGACCCATGCCATGCACTCTTACACTCTGGTTGTCAAGTCCGCCCCTGCAGCTTTTGGGTGTAGAGTTGAGCCGACCCAATACGGGATCACTGGGCGTGGTGTTTTTCTGTTTGCTTTGAACCGAGACAGTATCGTGGGCTGTGCAGTACCGGATAGCAACCAGAAGGATCAAGAGTTTCAGTTGCATACTTGCTCGCTGCTGCACGCTGCCATAGCTCATCCGTGCAATTGTACTAGGAATAATTCAGTCAGCTTTGTTACAAGGTAACAAACAGGGCAAACCCAACACCTAGCATAAAACCTAGCAGCCTTTTACTAGAGATTGTTACATACATTTGATTTCTGCTTTCTACATTTTATAGCCATCAAAGAAACAAGCACTAGCCCTAGAAACACACGAGGGAGGGATGGGTGGGGGCATTGCACTCAGAAGGGAGGGTGAGTGGGAGCATTGCACCTTGCATGGCATGAGATACAACAGAAGGGAGGACAAGGGCTCTGCCTGCACCGTGCATGGCATGAGATATGCCATCATCTCTCACTCATCTGCTCTCACGCGTCTCCATCCTTCCAGTGGTTCAAATAGTCCATCCAATCACACGAGATCTGCCCGGGCATGCACGCCTCCCGCCTCGGATCCTTCACCTCGAAATCCCAAAACGCCGCCGGCGCGTTCTGGGCTTTAAGCTTCCTCATGCGGAACTCAATCTCCGCCTTGTGAATGTTCCGCAACCAGCAGTGCTCCTGCAGGCCCTCTGCCATCTCATCATGCATCTTCCACCACCTTTGATGCGCTGCTTCATTAGCATAAGCATGGTCATATGGGTACAGCCATGTGCAGTCAAAGTCGCGGTAGCACTGCCAGGGCTTGCGGCCGAGGTAGTGGATGGTGTGGATCTCAGCTGGCTCCTCTGAGAACCACCGGTTCTTCATTTCCAGCTCGAGAGATCTGCGGGGTTCTTCGGTTGCCCACACGTGTTTGAGAATGTTGACCGAGTCAGGCAGGCGGTGCCACCACGTGAAGTAATTGTTCAGGTAGCCCTGGGAAGATGGGAAGCGGGGGAGGAATGGGGAGAACCGGAATGGGTGGGATGGGTGAACAGGTGAGGGGTAGTGAATGGTGTGGATCTCTGCCGGCTCCTCTGAGAACCACCGGCTCTTCATTTCCAGCTCGCGAGATCTGCAGGGTTCTTCGGTTGCCCGCACGTGTTTGAGAATGTTGACCAAGTCAGGCAGGCAGTGCCACCACGTGAAGTAGTTGTTCAGGTAGCCCTGAGGGATTAAGAAGGGTGGGGATGGGTGAACATTGGAGAGATAGTGCTGGGAATCAAGATGTGTGGATTTCAGCAGGTTCCTCTGAGAACCACCTCTTCTTCACTTCCAGCTCGCGGGATCTAAAGAGCTCCTCTGTGGCCCACACGTGCTTCAGAATGTTGACTGAGTCGGGCAGGCGGTTCCACCACGTGAAGTAGTTGTTCAGGTAGCCCTGAGTGGTTGAGAGGGGTGGGGATAGGTGAATGAGAGGACAAGAAAGTGGGCGACGACAAACAGTCCTTAAGCACCTACCCATCCCCAACCATTCCAATCCATGCACCCATATACCCAAGCCCAAGTGCGTGATAAGAGTGATTAGAGTGAAGTTTTGAGACGTCTCAAAGCATGCACCCATACACCCAAGCCCAAGTGCGTGATAAGAGTGATTAGAGTGAAGTTTTGAGACGTCTCAAAGCATGCACCCATATACCCAAGCCCAAGTGCGTGATAAGAGTGATTAGAGTGAAGTTTTGAGACGTCTCAAAGCATGCACCCATATACCCAAGCCCAAGTGCGTGAAAAGAGTGATTAGAGTGAAGTGCTGAGACGTCTCAAAGCATGCACCCATATACCCAAGCCCAAGTGCGTGATAAGAGTGATTAGAGTGAAGTTTTGAGACTTCTCAAAGTATGCACCCATATACCCAAGCCCAAGTGCGTGATAAGAGTGATTAGAGTGAAGTTTTGAGACGTCTCAAAGCATGCACCCATATACCCAAGCCCAAGTGCGTGATAAGAGTGATTAGAGTGAAGTTTTGAGACGTCTCAAAGCATGCACCCATATACCCAAGCCCAAGTGCGTGATAAGAGTGATTAGAGTGAAGTTTTGAGACGTCTCAAAGCATGCACCCATATACCCAAGCCCAAGTGCGTGATAAGAGTGATTAGAGTGAAGTTTTGAGACGTCTCAAAGCATGCACCCATATACCCAAGCCCAAGTGCGTGAAAAGAGTGATTAGAGTGAAGTGCTGAGACGTCTCAAAGCATGCACCCATATACCCAAGCCCAAGTGCGTGATAAGAGTGATTAGAGTGAAGTTTTGAGACGTCTCAAAGTATGCACCCATATACCCAAGCCCAAGTGCGTGATAAGAGTGATTAGAGTGAAGTTTTGAGACGTCTCAAAGCATGCACCCATATACCCAAGCCCAAGTGCGTGATAAGAGTGATAAGAGTGAAGTTTTGAGACGTCTCAAAGCATGCACCCATATACCCAAGCCCAAGTGCGTGATAAGAGTGATTAGAGTGAAGTTTTGAGACGTCTCAAAGCATGCACCCATATACCCAAGCCCAAGTGCGTGATAAGAGTGATAAGAGTGAAATTTTGAGACGTCTCAAAGCATGCACCCATATACCCAAGCCCAAGTGCGTGCATCCGTGTTCCCACCTGATCGCCCCCGTTGGGCGAGCGGATGGTGTGCACGTTGGCGAGGAGCTCGCGGAAGGTGCAGTGGGAGGGGCGCAGCAGCATGAGGCCCGAGTTGAAGTCCGTCTGGTCGTTGCCTCGCGCCGCCACGTCGGGGAAGGCGAAGAGGTGGTCGAGATTGCGCAGCACCAGCAGATCCGCGTCCACGAATACCACCGCTGAGTACTCTGTCAGCTGCCACAAGCGCAGCTTGCTGGTGTCATGAGGAGAGGGGGAGGGGGAAGAGGGTGAAGGGTGTGGAAGGGAGGAAGCAGATTGCACAGCACCAGCAGATCTGCATCCACAAACACCACCGATGAGTACTCCACAAGCTGCCACAGCCGCAGGTTGCTGGAAGCATAGGGGAGGGACAAGGGGGAGAGAAAGGAGAAAGGAGAGACGGAGAGGTGTTGGTACTCTGTCAGTGGCCACGGCGGCAGATTGCACAGCACCAGCACCAGCAGATCCACGTCCGCGAACAGCACCCTTGAGATTGTCGCAGAGATGGTCGCAGAGATGGTCGCAGATCGGCGTCCGCGAACACCACCAATGACTACTCTGTCAGCTGCCACAGCCGCAGCTTGCTGCCATTGGGGGGATGGTGGGAAGGGAGGAACGAGAGGAGAGGTGGGGGAGTGGGGCAAGGGGAGCACTCCGTCAGCTGTCATGGCTGCAGCTTCCTGGCAGCAGGAAACGGAACGTGGTGGGGGGAGGGGAGAAGAAAGAGAGAAAAAAAAGAGGCGGGGTGAGGGGGACAAGGGGAGCACTCCGTCAGCTGTCACAGCCGCAGCTTCCTGCCACAGCTGTAGCTTGCTGACGGCAGGGAGGGGGAGGGAGAAGGGTGTCAGGGAAGTGATAGGAGGTGGAGACCCCTCTTGTTCCACTTGTTATAAATGCTTTTCCAAGTGCACTCAAAGGTCACCTCGTTACAAGGTCACACACTGCAGTGCACACACACCTGTAGTTCCACTCGTTATAAGTTTTCTCCTGCGCGAACGGGTTTCGGATCCGCTCAATCTCCTTGACGATCCACCCAGCCTCCCCGAGCGCGTCGCGGCTGCGGTTACTGATTTCACGCGACACCAGCGCCACCATGTCGTGCCGGCTGCCGCTGCGCCGAATGCTGTGCCCCAGCACGATCGCGCCGCACACGTAGAACTCGGAGGTGTGCAGAACGGTGGCGTACGCCACTGTGCCTATAGCGGGCGGATCTGGCAGCGGAAGTGGGGGAGTGGGGGAAGGGCGAGGGGAAGAACAATAGTATTGACACGGGCGGGGGACGGGCAAGAGAGAAGAAAGATCAATATTGCGTGAAGGCAAAAGGAGGAGCCTCCTGAGGAGAGACATAGAAAAAAGGTTAAGTGCCTCTCAAGGCACTTGATCCAAAGCCCACCCTTCTTTACCTTGTCTGGTTGGCTGAGCCATTCCGCAGGACCCCAGCGGCTGAATATTCGGTGCCACGTCAGCAGCGGACATGTTGAAGAGCCACGCGGACCCCTCGTTGCGGACCAATCGGCTGCAGTGGAAGAGATTCGGCGGCGGGCGACAAGGGGAGATGAGCAGCAGCGGCAGCCATGGCTTGTTGACCTGCCTCGGGGGAAGACAGGCGGAGACACAGTGCGGAGAGACAGAGCGGAGAGACAGCGGAGAGACAGAGCGGAGAGACAGAGAGGAGAGACAGAGCGGAGAGGCAGAGCGGAGAGACAGAGCGGAGAGACAGCGGAGAGACAGAGCGGAGAGACAGAAGTGAGGGACAGCAAGCACGGGTGAAATCTACACTTTCTTCGTCTTCAGGAAAACTCAGTCACAATCGAAGACACTAAATAAATCAATGAGTAAAGAAGACAAGCATGTTTTCAGCTCACGGTTTTCTTGACCTTGTCTATGAGGGATTACTCGCGTATTTTCAGCTCATGGTTGCGCTAAGGATATTATAAGGGATTACTCGCGTACTGCTTACCTTTGTAACCATCTCCGCGAGCAGAAGCATCTGATGCATCCAGCGAATATCTTTCGCCAACATGTCGCTCGGCTTGTCGCACGGGACGCGTGCGACAATCGCATCCACGTCGCCCAGCCACGAGGGCGTTTCAGGCTGCGGAATTTCCGGGCAGGACGTCGGCAGCGATTGGTTGACCCATTCAGGATAGGCGTCCTTCCATTGGAGATGATCCGGTACGGCCGTTACAGGTACTGAAAGGAACTCATACGGATACGCGTACGATCGCAAGCTGGTACCGTCATCCAGATTAAGGGACGCGATGCGTCGTAATTTCAGTCCGTGCTGACGGTCCCAGGAACTAAGTATCGAGAGCGCGTGCCGTCCGTCGATACCCGGAGAGGAAACCAACGGTCGGATGGGAAGGATATCTAGGAGGATCGAACGGCACATGGTGGTGCTGCACCCTTTGCATAAGACAAGGGCGACCAGCGCCGCCAGCAGAATCAGAAACAGCCGAGACTTGCGCTTCCCGCCATTACTAACAGCACTACTCGTAGCACTGCTCACCGTGGCGTCTAGAAACGAACGGAAGACAGAGGTAGTGAATCGTGGCCTGATATTAGGAGATATCGAAGGAGACATTCTTATTCCTTTACAGGATGGAGGACTAGTAGAATTAGCAGGCCTGGTCGTAGGAGACGTGGTCGGGGTTCCATTGGCCGATCGGTTCCCAGGAGGGGACTTCATCGCTTCGTATAACATAAATCAGAAACTAGTAATCATAGATGTGGTAGCACCACCAGGAGTAGTGGTTTCTTGAATTCCTGCTGATAAGAGCAAGTACGTGTGTCTGAGTAGTGGTAAACGAGTGGCTTGTGAGGTCCAATAAACTTGTCGAACCTGATAAGGGGTCCAGGTGCTAGAGTGAACTTGCATGCTTGATGCACAAGAACAGAATCATTCTTCAAAGACTGAACAAGGAATGTCAATAAATGGCCAGGCGCTGAACTCTGGTGTGAAATATGTTAGCCCAGCGGCATTCTTTAGGAGGTGGCATTCCCCAGGGAGGGAGCAACAAGCACGTGATGGAATGGCCGAATCTTGCTGGTATGGTGTGGAATGAAGTAAGAGCAAGCGAAAGCAAGCGAAACGAGCGTGTAACTTGCTGTAACTTGCGAGAGCGCTGGCGAGGAAAAGGTGGCTCTAGGAAAAGGGGAAGAGTGCAGGAACCAGAAGTGGAGGAAGCGGGGAGCAGCGGCTAGATCAGGTAAGGTAAAGCCCTAATCTAGACGTCTGGCCTAAACGGGAATGTAATATACCCCACGTGATAAGGAGGTGGCTAGAAAACAGTTCCCGACCTTTTCCGGGGTTTCGGAGGTTTGATCTGAGATTGTTGATGTTTAGATCTGTCTAGACGCCTCCAGTTGGAATTGCTATAAGATTTGCGAAGAACCTTTTTCACACCTCTCCCCTTCCTCGTGTCTCATCACTTACATGTGGTAGTGCTTCGCTGAAACTTTGCTTAGATCTTGCTTGTTAGAGGTTGTCGTAACACAGCGCAGTCGGACAGGGGTGAAATCGAAAAACAGCCTCGGAAACCCTCAACAGACTTCCGCGGCTCATATGGTAACTTGCGTGTCGCATTTTCGCCTGGGTGACGGCTGTCTGCTTGCGTCGAGTCGAGTGAATCACTTGTGAGTGTGACTCAAGCGAGGAGGCGACTCCGTTTTCCTAGCGACGAGAAGGCGCGGGAACAGTTCCAGTGAACCAACAACACCTCAGCTGAACTTTTTCAGGATTGGATGGCATGGCACTAGCACGAATCACGGGTGCGATTGTCTGCTGTGCGTCAACTTGCGCACAAGTGCTGTACAAATCGAATTCATTTGCGCTCTGGTATGTGTCAACCTCTGGTCAAAACTCCATATTGAGTTCTCCGAAGTGGGTGTCGAGAAACGAGTCATTCTAACCGAGGTTAAAAACACTTGTGGCTTACTGCCCTCCCTCAATATTGTCGCGTTCGCTAAAGCCCCTAAGACCTTCCTGGTAGGGGCAACGTGCATATCATGCGACACCGCGACAGTGACGCAGCAATCTGGGCGGTTCGACTGATAGTCAATCTGTCCATAGTCGATTCGACGGATGCTTGAGCGCCCCTCGACACTCCCCAAACTTGCCCCTCGTTCGGCCAGTCAGCTTCAGGAATCATGAACCAGCTTCACAATTCGGCGCCTCGTATCGTATTACCCAGAACACCCCTCCCGCCCCACCCCCCCCCCCCCCACTTCGTCCTGCGGCCTGCTTGCCCCCCTTGATTCATCCTTCTTCCCCTCTCATTTGCCTGCTTTGATCAGCCATCTGTCAGCAACACCGAGATCGCCAAGCGAAGCGCCAAATCAACCTTGATAGTGTCGTAACCTAGGTTCTCCCCAAACCAACCCTCACCAACCCCTAGGTGATACGAGAGTCTCGTTTGATGCCCACAGTAACAAATTCAAAGAACCACTTGGTTCTGTCCGTCAATTGTCCTGTCAAGCGACCAAATCTTCGGTGACACTGACATGAACTACGCAAATGCGATCCGCCCCTGGCATAATCTCATCACTACGTTGTCACCGCCAGCCTAAAAGCGACCCTCTGGAAAAACCGTGCTCACAACCTCTAGTTTCCGCAACGCAGTCTCCATAGGTATAACCACCCTTTTTGTCTCTTTCAATAGGAGCCAATCCGCCATGTCGACTTCACCCACCCAGGCCGCCTCCTCTCATCCTCTCCTGCCTTCCTCTGAACCTCCTTCTGACGCCGCTATAAGCATCCTCGACAAGCTGCAAACAACCAGCCCCGTTAAAAGATCAGCCAGTTCTCGGCAAGCCACGCTGGCGAAATCACCCTCACACAGCCCCAAGCGCTCAATCTCCGCTCCCGCCGCGCACGCCGTCCCGCTCGGCGACAGTCCCGGCACCTCTTCCGTCGCATGGCTGCGCGACACGTGGCACGAGCACGCCAACCGTTCATTGGCGCTCGCTACAAAGCTCTCCGGATTTCAAGGCTGTCCGTCTCCCGTTGGAACCCCTGGTTCCCTGACCAATGGCGCTGCATTTTCCTTTTCGTCGTCCTTCACTAAAGCTAGTGCCTTCGGTACTGCCGGTTATCTCTGTGGAAAGAAGCGGCTCGCAAGCTCCCGGGAGATTTGGGTCGTTCTCCTCTCCTTCCTCTCGCTGCTTCTCCTCGCCGACATGCTGCGAAAGAACCACATGTTACTCTTACAATCCGCGACCGTGGGAATCGAGTTCCTATTTGTTCTCTCGCGCGAAAGCGTGTACGCGCGTGGCTTGCGCGTGCTCTCCACGTGGGAGAGGGAATCCGGAGTGCGCTTCGCCAATGTGGCAGTGGTCAACATGGAGGACGCGGAAATCGCGCGTTTCAATGCGACGCGGCGGCTAATCTCCTTGGCGGTTCCGTTTGCGCCGGGCCATTTAGACTGGAATCACTTATATCCAGAGTGGATTAACGAAACGTTACCAAACAGCTGCCCGTATCTGCCCGAGGCGCGCTGGCAGAGCGGGCGAAAGCAGGCGGACGCGCTATTGGCTCGCGTAGAATGTCGCGAGCCGGTATCCGGATGGGCGAAAGACGTGGAGTGGCAGCACATGCTACTTTCGCTGGCGAATCTCGTCGTTCAGGCAAGTGGCAGTTCGTCCAAGTCCCGGATTGTATACGTATCACCATGCCTTCAGATCAACAGTCACTTATTGACAACATTGCCAACGATCCTCTCGCCTCGCGCCTCGCGCCTCTCTCCTCTCACCTCTCCCCGCCTCCCCTGCACGCCTTCCCCCTGCACACAATATTCCCCTTGCCTTTCTCCCCCCTTCCCCAACTTCCTTCCTTCCCCACCCACCCGCACCTCACTCAATCATGTTTCCCATTTCGTATCACCAACCCCCACTCTGCATCTGTCAACAGGCCGATAAGCCGTGGATGCCGCTCCTCCTCATCTCCGACTGCCGGCCACCGTTAAACCTCCTGCCGTGCGACCGGCTGGTTAAACGGGACGGGCCGGTCTGGCTGTACAACCTGACGGCCAGCGATCTTCGAACCAGGCTGCAACCGGCTGGATCATGCGCCATGGCGCAACCGACATTGACGGCCGAAGGTAAATGAAACGATCAACAAGTCCTTGAGAGTAATTAGTGGGTGACAGTAAGTCACATTATAGTTGCTAATAATCCGCGCTTATAACCTTTCGTTTCCATGCCGCTACCAGAACCGCCTGTCGTAATCGAGCAGCGTACGCGACAGTGCTGCACGCGGTACACCTATAGAGCATTGTGGGTCCCCTACACTGCAATGGAGATGTAAATGCTCCCTACAAGGCGGCACGCGGTAGGGACACGCTTCAACTTTCCTCCTCTCACCTTATTCTCACTTCCTCCTGGCCTTTTCCTCCCCCACTTTCACCCCACCGTCCCCCCGGCTCCTGCCGCCAGAGCCGCCCGCCATAGGCACAGTGGCGTACGCGACAGTGCTGCACACGGTGGAGAATTACGTGTGTGGCGCGATCGTGCTGGGCCACAGCATTCGGCGCAGCGGCAGCCGGCACGACATGGTGGCGCTGGTGTCGCACGAAATCAGCAACCGCAGCCGCGACGCGCTTCGCGAGGCGGGGTGGATCGTCAAGGAGATCGACCGGATCCGAAACCCTTACGGCAGCAAGACGTCGTACAACCAGTGGAACTACAGGTACAGTAAAATTATCGTGTTGCTTAAGAAACTTGAACGGAAAACAAAGTCATTCCTGCTTTACAACCTATGATAACAGTTTCGCGATCCCCCTAGTTACGTTCCCCATTCAGCAACCCTTGTCACAGCAATTTCCGGCTGATGATAAAAGTGCCAACATTTCTTGCTCCTCTCTTCCCCCCCCCTCTCCTCATGACACCAGCAAGCTGCGCTTGTGGCAGCTGACAGAGTACTCAGCGGTGGTATTCGTGGACGCGGATCTGCTGGTGCTGCGCAATCTCGACCACCTCTTCGCCTTCCCCGACGTGGCGGCGCGAGGCAACGACCAGACGGACTTCAACTCGGGCCTCATGCTGCTGCGCCCCTCCCACTGCACCTTCCGCGAGCTCCTCGCCAACGTGCACACCATCCGCTCGCCCAACGGGGGCGATCAGGTGGGACCATGCTTGCTTGGAAACTATTATGGTTGGGGATGGTTGTGAATGTTTGTTGATGGTTGGTTCCTCCTTTTTACGGCCAAATCCCAGTGGCAACACTTGCTCAAATGTACCCTCTTTCACCCATCCACACCCCTCTCAACCCCCCAGGGTTATCTGAACAACATCTTCACGTGGTGGCACCGCCTGCCCAACTCGTACAACACTCTGAAGCACATCTGGGCGTCCGACCCCCATGACCGAGCGCTCGAGCTAGAAATGAAGAACCGGTGGTTCTCAGAAGAGCCGGCAGAGATCCACACCATCCACTACCTCGGCCGCAAGCCCTGGCAGTGCTACCGCGACTTTGACTGCACGTGGCTGTACCCGTGGGACCATAACTTTGCTAACGAAGCAGCTCATAAGCGGTGGTGGGCCATGCATGATACTATGCCAGAATCCCTGCAGCAGATGTGCTGGTTGAGGAATGAAGACAAGACGGAGATGGAGTTCAGAAAGAGGGGTCTCGAGGCGAAGAACGCCCCGCCTGGTTTTTGGAATTTCACTGTGACGGATCCCAGGAAGGATTACTGCTTCCCCGGGCAGAAGACGTGCCAGTGGGAGCTGTATCTGGAGCACTGGAAGCGGCGGTAGGGGCAAGTACTAGGGCTTTCAGGGAAGGTGGGCGCGGTTCACTGGGTGGTGTGGTGACGGTGTTTTGGAATTTCACTGTGTCGGATTGGAAAAGGGATTATTGCTTCCCCGGGCAGAAGACGTGCATGTGGCAGCTGTACCTGGGGCACTGGCAGCGGCGGTAGGGCCAAGCAGAAAGCAGGCAGCAGAAGCACTGGTAGCGACGGTAGAGCTGAGACAGGGAGGCATTGCGATTGGGAGCTATACTTGGGGCAACTCAAGAGGCGGTCAAACCACTGACTGGCTAGCTTATGGCAGATGGTGTGCAGATGGGGGCAGATGGTGGGCAGATGGTGGGCAGATGGTGGGCAGATGGTGGGCCCCACCTGATTAGAAGGTGGATTGTTTCTGCTGGTGCTCACTGGCAGGTGGCATGGAAGGCCAGAAGCTGTGCCAGCGGGAGCCGCATCTGGGGGGGTCGAAGCAGTGGTGAAGGCAGCTAAGGGAAATAATTTATCCAATGATTTGAAGAGCTTGGCGCAATGGACGGGGCTCCAATCGAGCCACCTGGATGAGAAAGGCGATATGTTTACTAGGTGCGGAGAGAGGAAACTATGGAGTGTGCCTTTGGTAAGGGAATATGACTGTAGGGTTGCACGAGCAAGAGGTCCTGCTTGGTGGATATTCAATGCAGGAACTCTTATGGTTAGTGGGGTTACGCTGTGCTCTAGTAATGGCAGGATTTTCGGTAGATTAAGTACTGTAGCATGTGCTAAACTCCTGTCTGATTATGTCTACCAAACTGAAGCAAATATTCTAAGTAACATGTGAAATGTAATCCAATAAGTGGTAATAGCAGTGATTCACTATCTACAACTGATGCTTGGAGTGAATCTCTTCCAGAGCAGCTCTTTTTCAGTAGAGCTGTAAGTTCCAGAGCTGTTGAGACTTGCTGATACAACATTAACTAGTACCGTATATACATATTCAGGGAAGAATTCACAAGAGCGTGATGCAAATGGCTACGACCTGCTCCAACAACAGCTAACGTACTGAGGATCTTTCATAACAGTCCTACCTACCTCATCCTACATTACGCAAATCATACAAACTATATTAATTCACGAATACATCAAACCTGTTATCTTGATAAAGGTTTACCCTCACTTGGTGATCATGAGCGGCCGCATCATGTCATTCTCCTCATGCTCCAGCATGTGGCAATGCCACACATAACCCGGCCCGCGGCTCGCGTCAAACTCGAAGGTCTTCACCCCCGACTGCTGGTAGAACGGAGTGTAAATTGTGAGCACCTCGCCAGGCTGCGACAGGGTCGTGTCCTTCCACCTGCGCTCATTCGCGTTCACGTCAACAGCTGGGCCAGTGTAGCAGCTGGGCTTGCTTTTGTCCTTGAACGAGCACTTGCCCGCCTGGAACTTGGCGATGTCAAAGGGGCGGCGCGAGATGGCGCGGTGCTGGATGAGGTGCAGGTGCATGGCGTGCGCATCCGCGCTGAGGTTGATGATGTTCCACAGCTCCGCCGTGCCCTCCTTGGCGATCTCGGTGGCGGGGTCGTGGTGCATCTTGCCGTCGATGGTCACGCGGATGGGCAGCTCCGTCTTGGCGTCCATGATCTCCACCAGCGTGTTGTACCGCACGCGCACCACGCTCCCCATATCCACCTTCGGGATACTCTGCTTCGCTCCACGGGTGTGTGGGGGGGAGAAATTAAGAACAAAGAATGAACCGAGGGAAGAGAAAGCGAGCTAGAAATCACTAGAAAACGTCACTATCAGTTCCAAGGAGCACAACACGTAAGACGAGGGCGGTGGAGACGGGCGGGGAGGGGATTAGACACGTACGACGAGGGAGCTAGGGATGGGCGGGGCGGGGATGGCGGTCCGCTTGGTGAGCACGAAGCGCATGACGACGCCCGTGTTGGCGTCGGCGGGCTCGCCGGCGGGGTAGGGGGCGCGCGCGTCGTTGGTGAGGATGACGTCCTTGCAGTGCGCGGGCGCGCCTGTTGAAGTCCACCAGAATGTCCATCCGCTCGCCTGGCAGCACCAGCAGCGACGACATGCGCACCGGCGCCGCCAGGTACCCTCCGTCCGAACCGATCTGAACCGCAGGGAAAAACAGATGGCAAAGGCGACATGTTTTGAAACCGAGATAAGAAAAAACTGTCACAGTACGGTACTGCGGGATACACTTGCGCAGGACATTCCCGACGAACTGCATTAGACGGACAGCACTTCGGACGAGGGGCGGATTACCTGGATGATCTCAAGGCTGGGGCCCTTGAGCGGCGGCATGAAGTTGGGGTAGTCGCCACGCCCCGCGCACGTGAACTTGAGGTTGTACACGCGCGCGTTCGACCCGCCCAGCACGCGGAAGCGGTACAGCGCGCGCCAGACCTTGAGGTACGGCCACACAACGCCGTTCACGAGAAGGTGGTTACCAAAGTATTCGGGAACCCAGTTCGGGTGCACGTTCGGCACGATCCCCACATTCGGGTAATCGATCGACCCGTTGGCAAAGAACGAGCGGTCCGCGAGAACGAGCGGCACGTAGCGCGAGGTGCCGGGCTGCGGGAGGAACTGGAGGTTCTTCTCGTCGCCCTTGGGATCCACGATGATGTACGCGCCCGCCAGCCCCGCCACCGTGTTGAGCCGCGTCCACCCGAGCGTGTGGTCGTGGAACCAGATGAGCGACGCGCTCTGCTGGTTGCCGTAGCGGTAGAGGCGCGACTTGAAGGTGGGGCCAACCTCGCCGAACTGCGTGAACCACGCGTCGGGGTGCCCGTCGAAGTCGCTCGCCTGCTCGCCTCCGTGCCTGTGCACCACTGCACATGGGAAATGCCGACGCACAAGGGGAAGGAGATACGTGGGGTGAGGGGATGAGGTACTACGCAAGGCCAGCGATGCAGGATCAAAAGAAGGATTGCTAGCACGCGGGAAGGAAGGTTGGTGTGTACGCACCCATGGGAATGCCACCCATTTTGGGCTTAGCCATGCCGGGCATGAGCGTGAAGTCATTGGTGAACATGTGCTGGCGGTCCAGCAGCTTGTTCTGCCAGTACACCTTGGTGCGCACGCCCTTCTTCGCGATCAGAATGGGCCCCGGATACGACGCCGTCTTCGCGTCCATGCCGTACGCGTACTGCTTCGTCGCCGGCAGGTCGCGGTGAAATTTCTGCGCATGCGAGACCAGGGCAATGAAGAATGCGGGGAAAAGACTTTCGTCAGAAACTCAGGTGCACGCCGTATCACGGTAACAGGGTGCTTCACGGAACAGAAGGCTTTTCCGTGGTATTACTCACGTGGTAGATTTGGTAGGCGCTAATCTGAAGCGTCTTGCCGCTGGCAGCGTCGACGACGGTGGGTTTGAACGACGTGGCCATGTCGTTGACAAACTTGCAGAGCGGGTACTTGGGGAAGCGGTTCTTGCACTTGGGACCAGCGAGAGGCGCGGCCGTTGATCCTGAAACTATCGCGAGCAGGCAGAGGGCGAGCAACCCCGCCTTCTGGGGGCGCGCTAAGAGAGCCATTGCAGAGGTGGAGTGATGGTGCTGCCGCAAAACAATGATGAGAGAGATTTGAACGAGTCGGCGAGGAATGTGCTTCAGTGAATTCACAGTAGCGAGCAGCAACCAAATTTGTACTAGTTCTTTTCCCCGCGTATCACCCAAACCTGCAAATGTCGCTGGACTGAACATGCAGTGCGACTCGGAAACGGGTTAAGCCGCGCCGCATGTGCTTACGGGAAAGAGATTGGTCGATGCAGTGCGGTTAGGGCCAAGGGTTGGCTTGCGTGCGTCCTGTATGTGCCGTAGTGCGTGAGCTGCTGTCCTGAAAGCTTGGGTGAAAGTGAATGTAGGGAAAGGATATCGTGACTCCACATTATCGGGGGTACTACAGTAACGACTTTCGATTTATTGTACAGTTGAGAGGGTATTTATGCGTCTATACATAAAAATTGTATCAGCGTATGTATCAGCACAATGGACAAAAGAGCAACTTCTATCACAGTATTATCGAGGCATATTTTCATCCTAAAAACCATTGATATGGCTCATTCTTATTTAAATCCTAAACAGGACTGTTATGAGCTGTAAAAGAGAGTGCGTAGATTAACGAATAATGAGACAGTTATTGAAAGAGTTGAGAATACATTGTAGGCACGCACTAATGTAGTGGCTAGTCCAGCTAGGAGAGAACCTTGGGTGAGCGAGGTTGGGTGCAGGTTTGGCAAAGGGAAAATCCGAAGGCGACACGAGGAGCCTCGGCATCGTTGATGTCGGCCAAATGTGGAGACTCTGAAAGTTAGGGTTGTACGCATAGCAATCAACCTTGATTGTTGGGCTGAGAAAAAGCCCTTAGGATCTTTGCACGGCTAAACTCAGAGTAGGAATGTTGTAGCTTGCGGAAGTGTTTAATGATGAGTACTGTACCACTTTGCTGTCAGATTATGTATGCTATATATGTTTGGGCTGTAGTCGGGTAGCCAATATAGGGTACAACCTCTTCTAGGGTTTGACATTTGTACCCAACTCTTCCATAGTTAATTCATTCCTGCCTATACTTTTGACATGGTTTCAGAGCAGTAGGTCCGTAGGACCGTCTTTTTTTCGGGCCCACCTACCGCTACCCCACCAATGTGCCTGTCACTGTGCCTAGGACGTGCTGCGCTGCACGCACTATCTGCCTGCTGTCTGCTGTCTACTGTCTGAGCTGTCTGCTGCAGCTTCTCGCGCAGACCTAATTCTAGTGCGCTGCCTCGTTTTTACCCTCGCGGGTTGCCCTCTCCTGCCCGAACCGCGCCTCGGCAGCCGCGTCGCGTCCCGCGCAGCTCACGTTGAGCCCGCGCAGCGCGCGCGCGGTCCGCAGCTGCCCCGCGCAGCCTGCCCCGAGTGTCAGAATCCCAACCACTAGACCATTGGGATAAAAGGGCTTGTTTCAGTAGCGGGCCAGTGCGCCCATAACCCCCCAGGCAAACGCGCCTGTAACCCCCCCTAGGATCGATCGGGGATCTCACAGTGAAGCTCTACTGACACCCCCCCACACTGGGAGGCCCAGGACTAAGCACAGCGGCACCGGCCTACATGTGCATACACCGGGAATCGAGTCCGAGACCGCTCTGATGCCATGTCAGAATCCCAACCACTAGACCATTGGGATAAAAGGGCTTGTTTCAGTAGCGGGTCAGTGCGCCCATAACCCCCCAGGCAAACGCGCCTGTAACCCCCCCTAGGATCGATCGGGGATCTCACAGTGTAGCTCTACTGACACCGAGCCCGCGCGACGCGCGCGCGGTTCACACCTGCCCCGCGCGACCCGCACCGAGCCCGCGCAGCGCGCACGCGGCCCGCCGCTGCCCCGCGCAGCCCGCCCAGAGCCCGCGCGGCGCGTCCACGGCCCGCAGCGCACTGTGCGCCGTCCGCGCAGCCCGCGCCGTGCTCTGTCCGCCAGTGCGCGGCCCTAGGCAGCAGCCGCGCGCCACCCTACCGCCGCCACGGCCTCGCCCTGCCGCCGACACGGCCCCGGCCTGCCGCTGACACGACACGGCCCTGCAGAAACTGCCGCGGCCCTGACCTGCCGCTGTCGCGGCCCCAGCCCTGCAGCTGACGCGGCCCTTCACTGTAGCCGCTGTTGCGGCCCCGCCGTCGCCACCGTCGTGCACCGACCCTGCCGCTGTCCGCCGAGCACCGGCCCTGCTCGCCCGGTGAGCGCCTGCTCTTCCCGCCACTGGTGAGCACCTGCCTTGTTAGCGCGCTGCCGCGCCGCCTGTCTGCCTGCCTGCCTGTCGCGCCTGCCCTGCACGCGCTGCTGCTGCTACTACTGCCATTGCCACTGCTACTGCTACTACTAAGGGTGGCCTGATGCAGCTCCAGCGACGTCCGCGTGAGTCCCTCACGTCCTAGCAGCTTAATGAGTGGTACGCTAGTTGGGGTTGTAGGGGTGGCCGCGCTGCTGCTGCTGCTACTGCTGCTACGGCTGTTACTGTTCCTACTGCTGCTACTACTGCTACTGCTGCTACTGGCGGTGGCCAGATGCAGCTCCAGCGACGTCCGCGCGAGTCTCGCACGCCCCAACAGCTTTGTGAGTGGTACACTCAGAGTAGAGGGTCTCTCAGTACCGTTCGCTGCCCTTACGTCATTCGCACTGGTGCTCAGACTGGTCAGACTTGCGGGACACTTACTCATACACAGTCCCGCTGCTTCGCCCGTCTGAGCGACGCTTGGCGTACCGAGTTTGGCGACGAGGCTGAGCTCCCGGACTGGGTGGAGCTGCTTGGGCAGAGGGTAGATATATTTACTCTTGACTATGATGCTATTCTCACTGCCATGTATGCATTGCCTACTAGTGCTGACCGTGCCTGTTACCTGTGCGTACCGCCTGACCCAAGTATAGAGCCTGCTGCTCTAGGTGCTGGTGAGGCTGCTGCTCTAGGTGCTAGTGCGTCTCCTGCTCTAGGTGCTGGTGAGGCTGCTGCTCTAGGTGCAGGTGAGTCTGCTCTCTCTGGTACTTCGCCTGCTGTGACCTTGCACACCTTCACCCTTGACTCAGGAGCTTCCCGCTCCTTCTTTCGTGACTGCACCACACTCACGCCGCTCAGTCGGCCAGTTGCAGTCTCCTTGACAGACCCCTCTGGGGGTCTAGTCCTTGCCCACTACTCCACGATTCTGCCGTGTCCGGCCGCCCCGTCTGGCTTGCTGTCAGGTCTCTACCTCCCCTCGTTCTCTACGAACCTGGTGAGTGGAGCTGACCTCCAGGATGGGGGGGTTGACCAGTTCACTCCTGCGAGTCAGCGAGTGACTCACTGTACATATGCTCGGACGCGCCGACACCTGGCCACGTTTACCCGTGAGCCTGGCTCGAGCCTGTACACCCTGACCACTGAGTCCCCTCAGGTAGCTACGTCTGCGTCTGCTTCAGGTCAGTTATCGGCCCCCTGCTCGTGTCGCGCCTTGTCGCATCATACCCTCCTTTGGCACCACCGCCTTGGTCGCCCCTCGGTGCAGCGCCTTCGCATCATGCACCGCCGTGTCCTTGTCTCTGGTCTTCCCAGGGCTCTCCCTCCCCTCCCACCCTCGCCTGCTCCTCCCTGTCTTCCCTGTGTCGAGGGGCGGCAGCGCGCCGCTCCTCACTCCTCCTCGTTCCCTCCCACAGAGGCTCCCTAGCAGACTCTCCACCTGGACGTGTTGGGCCCAACCCGCGTCCGTGGACAGGGCCATGAGCGGTACTTCCTGCTGGTCGTTGACGACTACACGCGTTACACCACGGTCTTCCCCTTGCGCACCAAGGGTGAGGTGCCTGATGTTTTGATCCCTTGGATCCGCGCTGCTCATCTCCAGCTCCGCGAGCGGTTCGGGACTGAGTTTCCCGTTCTTCGTCTGCACTCTGACAGAGGTGGTGAGTTTTCCTCCGACCTCTTAGCAGCCTTCTGTGAGGAGCACGGCATCACCCAGTTGTTCACGCTTCTGGCCTCTCCGCAACAGAATGGGGTTGCTGAGCGCCGCATTGGCTTGGTCATGGAGGTCGCTCGTACCTCCATGGTCCATGCGGCTGCCCCCCATTTTCTGTGGCCGTTTGCAGTTCGGTACGCCGCGCATCAGCTCAACCTCTGGCCCCGTGTCTCCTTGCCGGAGACCTTGCCCACACTGCTGTGGACGGGGAAGGTTGGCGATGCGTCGTGTTTCCGGGTCTGGGGTTCTCGTGCCTTTGTTTGCGATACCACCGCAGACAAGCTCTCCGCCCGCGCTGTTCCCTGTGTCTTCCTTGGCTTTGTCCCTGACGCGCCTGGTCGGCAGTTTTACCACCCCACCTTGCGCCGTGTCTTCTCCTCCCAGGACGTCACATTTGACGAGTCGGTTCCTTTTTACCGTCTCTTCCCCTACCGCACTGCCCCTCTCCCCCCCCCCCCCGCTGCTCTTCCTCGCTCCAGGTGCTACCCAGGTAGAACCCCTCCCCGCTCCCGGTCCTGCTCCTTCAGGTGTGTCTCAGGTAGACCCTCCTCCCTTGCCTACGCCGGTTGAGGTTACTGGTGACTTAGGTCCTGCTTGGGGTGCTGCTTTTAGGGGTGGTGGGCCTCGGGGTGCTGAGCCTGGGGGTGCTGAGCCTAGGGGTGCTGAGCCTGGGGGTGCGGAGCCTAGGGGTGCAGAGCCTGGGGGTGCGGAGCCTGGAGGTGCTCAGCCTGGGTGTGAGGGGTCTGGGGGTGCTGCGCCTTGGGGTACTGGGTCTGGGGGTGCTGCGCCTGGGGGCACTGCGGAGTCTGGTGAGCAGTCTCCCTGGAGCGGCCGTCTCCGCAGTCGCTCCGCTGGTGCCTCGCCGCTGCACTCTAGTCGTCGACCTCCTCTCTCCCCACAGTAGCTGCGTGAGTGGTACGCTGGCCGTCAGGGTCGCGCTGCTGGGGCTCGGGGCCCTACTGCGGGAGGCGCTGGCGCAGATGACTCTACTACTGGAGTCGTTTCTACTGGAGGTTCTGGAGCTGCTGAGGGTGCTGGCGCTGGAGGTTCTGGAGCTGCTGAGGGTGCTGCTGCTGGAGGTT